TCCAGTTCTGATAACAGAGCAGTACTGGTTCTTCATTACGAAGCAATGTTCATCCTTATTTCCCCCTCTACAAATAAGCAGCAGTTACCCAAAAAAGTTCAAGCTTTCAACCTCTGCTGAAGAGGTTAGCAATAAATATTGTTTAGATAAAAATGATAGCATTACTTTTCATACAGATTCCATTTAATATTAAAAGTTGAGGCAGTTTATTTTATCATGTCATAGTGTTACTTTAAAGATTCTATTTAATATTGAAAATTGAAGCAATTTATTTTATGATGTTATATTCAGTATTATTTTAATTTGTAGCAGGTAAGATGGTTTGCATATTGTAATATTTCATTATTTAACAAAAAATTATATTTATTATTCTTAATATTGGAGTGGCAACACCATATTTGTATCGTGTAACCGTTGCTTAGCAATGCCGGAAAATGTTTAAAAATTCCGGTTTTTTTTGGCAGTTAGTAGATGATTGAAAATTTATCAAGAAAGAAATAGTAAAAGTAAGCTACAGTGTGTTGCTATAACAGATAAACTTGTATTTTAAATTATCCATCTCTGTGACCTGAGAATAAAATTTATATTTCATCAAGAAGCTCATCTGTTATTTCATTAAATACTGCAAAATACATTACAGTTTTATAAAATTGGAGGCTCCACCGACATCCTGGAAACTAGGAGTGTAATTATCAATTTTGATGGTGCTGATCTCCTAATACCAAAAATGTTGCTGAAATTTTGAGAAACTTTGCTAGTACTAATTGCCGAGTTTGTTTATTTCAAGGAAGAATTGATATCAGAAGTCTGCCATTTTAAAGTCAAATTTTGAAGCGGATCATTCTAAGGTTATCGTCTGTGTTTCAATGGCTTGCGTCCGAGCAAAGAACTGTCAGAAAAGGATACTGCTGATCTCCAAAGATAAGACTAACTTTTGGTTTTCATAAAAAAGTGTTTATTGAGTTTTAGTATTTCATTTCAGAATTATATTTAAATAATGTAACTTTTTGTTTAAAATTACTAATACTAAAAATATTAGGCATAAATTATAATTGATATTTGTGATAAAGAAGTATTTAAAAGGTTATTATTTAGGCTTTACTGTTATTTGTATTGAATTTTTATGTTGAATATTAATATGTGTAAGCCATCTCGGCATTTATAAAAAAAAAAACAAAGAATTGCTAAATGTATGTTTGAATTTCTTCCCAAGCAGGCGTGTGGGTAATAAGTAGAAATGTCAAACTGACGTAGTGTGATTTTATTGTACTGCCAAACTGACAAAAGTCTTTTCTTAGTTCTTACCATCCAGGTGTGTGATAGAGAGTAACACCATCCTGACGTACTACAGCTAAAATTTTTAAACTGGCAAAAATTGTTTTTGCAATCGCCAACTAAGCATGGAGATAGAAAGTAAAATTGTCAAACTGATGTGGATATAATTCCATTGTATTGCCTAACTGGCAGAGGTGTTTATATTGTCATCACCAATGAGGCTTGTGAATAGCGAGTTAAAACGTCAACCTGGCATAGTATTATTTTATTTTCTGCCAAACTGGCAAAGATGTTTAAAAATAATTCTCTCCAACTGGTAAGTGTTAATTTCGTATTTGACAAATTAAGTCTCGCCAAAAGTTATATATTTTTAATACAAGTATAATTTGTAAGATTCAATTTTAAAAGAAAGCCTATTAAAGGTCAATTGTTCAACATGTCATTCTTAGCTAGGAGTAAAAACAGGATTTAAAGGTACTAGTAACAAGAGTTAGGTTTAACCATGAAACCTGAATTTAAGATTGTTCATTTGCATAAATTGATTACTGAAAGTCCTGGTTATCACAACAAATGAGTCTCTGATTTCCATTACATAAAGCATTTTTGTTAAAAAAACTCAGTTTGTTACTAAAATGAAAATTCACTTCTTTGTCTCAAAAAAAAAGAAAAGAAAAGAAAGAAAGAAAGAAGAGCAAAATTTTAACAGTTAATAAGTAGACATAGATGACTCAAAACAAAACAGTTAAATACTTTTACTTTCATAAAAAAATAATTAAAAATTTGGGATTTTCATTAATAAAGTGATAATTTTGTTAAAAAATATTTTCACACCACTTCATTTTTAAATAGAAGAAGATATGACAATCATTTATGAAAGAAAAGATGAATATTATACCATAAACAAATGAACTGGTTCTTCATACATATCACTGATATATTCGGTCTATTGGGCTTAATGTATACATACTGATGCAGCAAATTAACTAAAACAAAGTTGATTCAAGTTAGTCTTAAGTGTGATGCAACAGTGTACCCATGGCTACTGATAAAGTTCATTTATGCCTGTTGACGCCAGAGAAGCCATCTGTGAAAAATATGTAATATTTGTGTTCTAAAACGATGATGCTGATGTTTGTTTATAGCGCCACTTTGTGGCCACTTGTATTGAGTTTGAGTGTGTACCGAGACGCCGCCGAGAGATGTGAACTAACTATGCGGCTTTTTGTGTAATTAATAAATTTTAATATACAGTCCATTTTTGAGTTCTTGTGTAAAGTGATTTATTTAATTATGGGTTTTACTAAGCTATTGACGGGCCAATTGTTGGCCCTTACCCAGCCGGAGTTATACCAGTAGTGAAAGTGTGTGTTAAAAATTCTTCGAATGTGTGTCAAAGCCGGAAGACAAGTGTCATGGAAGGAGAACTTGCAGATTACTCTTAAATAGAAGATACATGGCCTTAATTGTAATAACTGTGTAATTGAAAAATAGATTCAAAATGTTTAAAAGTGCAAAAAAGGAAATTTATAAGCGTCTTGCTGTAGAGCTGAATTTGGACATTTCACAAGCAAAAACTATATCAGATTTAATTGATATAATCAAAAACAGTGAAAGCTATAAAAATGACCCTGTATTAGTTGAAGGTATAGGAAATAATATTATCGACAAAAGAAAAAGTAATGAGATCCGATTGCTCGAAGTTGAGTAATTGAAAACGGAACTAGAACTTGCAAAGTTGCGAGCAGAATCAAAGATTGATATGAGTAATATGAGAAAAGGGAAAATGTAAAATATTTCAAAAAGTGTTCCAGAGAAATTTAAATCAGAAATTCTTCTAAATCTGTTGGGAGAAAAAGCCACAAATGTCATTACATACATTAAAGACGACGAATTAGGATATTATTCGAAGTTTAAAGAAATAGTGCTAATACAATTCAAACCTTCCCCCCAAATTTGTTTAGAAAATTTTAGGAAGACAACGAATGACGAATGAAACTTATGTGCAGTTCACGTCTAGATTAACTACGAGTTGGGATTATTATTTGAAACTGAGAAAGGTAAATGACTTTGAAACATTAAAGCAATTAATGGTTTCTGATAAAATATGTCAAACACTTGATAAAGAGGTTATGTATTTTATAAATATATGGCAAGGAAATTCTTGGTAAACCTGTAGAATTGGCGAAGAAGATAGATTTATATTATACATCAAAGGGAAAACCTGTAGTGGATAATTCTAGGTTAAGTAATAAAAACAGTTATCCTAAATATATGTCAAAGGTTTTTCTAAATAATGTAAAAAATTCAAAATGTATTTTATCTTGGAATGAAATTCATCTTTTGTACAAATGCACTGTTTATAAAAACATGACAGTTAGTGATAGAGTTGGGCTAGTGAAATCAAAACATCTATGTTTCAACTGTTTAGGAAATCATAAAGTGATTGATTGCAGCAATAAATTCCTTTGCAGTATTTGTAAAAAGAAACATCAGTGACCAAAATTTATTCTCAACAATGTGCAATCTCATGAATGAATTAAAAGCTGTCTTACTTTTGTTTGTTTAATTAAAAATGCATTGGATAACTTTTTTAGTTAGAGGTTTGTTAGATGTTGGTGCCAATTCAAATTTTATGAGCAAAAGGTTAGCAGATTTGCTTCAATTAAAGCGAGAAAAGACTAACATTTCTGTTTCAGGAACAAATAATTTGTCTTTGAATATAAAATCTAGAGTTAGTGCAACTATTTTAAATAGAAACAAGAGTTTCTGTTTAAATTTTTTGGTGGTTCCTAAAATAACAGAATATACGCCCTCTAGGCCTCTTGAAATTAATGTTTCATCTTTAAATAACATCAATTTAGCAGATGACAAATTTTTTGAGCCAGGCCCAATTGTATTTGTGATAGGTGCAGAACATTTCTATGAGCTTTTAAAACCAGGTCAAATTTCCCTTCAGGATTCAAATTAAAGATTAGAAAATAGTGTTTTCGCTATGTTGTAAGTGGGACACTCTGCTAAAGAAGAAAGTAAATTACATCGTGAACTTATTACAGATACAGATAATTTGGAATTAGAAAGAGCAGTAAGAGAGTTTGGGGAAATCGAAAACGTAGAAAGAGAGTCTGAGATTTCTAAAAGTAAAGAAGCAGAAATTTGTGAACAGCATTTTCTCAAGAACTATTCTAGGACTGAAACTGGAAAATATGTATTCAAGATACGGTTTAAGGAAGATCCAATGTGTTTAGAGAATTTGAAACAAGTCGTGTTTAAGAGGTTGAATTCGTTGTGGACTCGTTTAAGTAAGGATGAAAATCACTTATTATTGTACCCTGATTTTCTACATGAATATAGTGACTACTACTTTTCTACATGAATACAGGTCACATGACTGAAGTGATAGATGAAGATGAGCAAAAGGGGAAATATTATATTCCACACCTTGGTATTTATTGCCTTGAGAAAAGTTCGACACCTTTGAGCGGATGCTTTTACAGCGGATATCAGAAAGATGTACCGAATAATATCGATTCATCCTACTCAATGGCAGCTACAGAGAATTTTGTGGAAAGAGTCAATTAATGGTCCAGTTAAAACATTTGAGTTGAACACGGTCACCTATGGCACAGTAAGTACACCTCTTTTAGCCATGAGAACATTACGTCAGCTTGGTATAGATGAGTTCACAAATTTTCCATTAGCAGCTGCAGTTCTATAGTGATTTTTACATGGATGATGTGCTAACAGGGTCCAGTTCATCGAGTTCGGCGAAAGAGCTACAGCATGAATTAATTGAGATTTTAAAAAGTGCAACTTTGACTCTATACCAAGGTATGAGTCATATGAGTCAACCTTGATAAATACCAAGGTGTGGAATATAATATTTCCCCTTTTGCTCATCTTCATCTATCACTTCAGTCATGTGACCTAGTTTACTATATTCATGTAGAAAATCAGATGTACAAATGGTGTAGCAACAATCTGGAGCTTGCAGTTAACGTTTATGATGAATACACATTTCAGTGCACGAATGAAGTGTCAGCCTTTGGTGTTTCCTGGAAAGCAGATAAAGATTGTTTTAACTTTAAAGTGAAACTAGAAAATGAGTGTGAAATTACTAAAAGGCAAGTTTTGTCAACAATAACGAGAATCTTTGACCCACTTGGTTTATTGGGTCCCATGATAGCTAAAGCTAAAATATTTCTTCAGAGTATGGGTTTTGAAGCTCAATTCGAACAATCTTCTACCTGAAAAAGAAGCCAAAGAATGGCAACGGTTTTTCTCTGAACTGCCACATATATGTAAATTAGAAATTAACAGATGCATTCTTGTCGCAGAAGCAATTGTTATCGAGTTACACGGATTTTGTGACGCCTCTGGGTTAGCTTATGGAGCTGCAGTTTATTATAAGTCCATCTCCCATCATGTGAAGTGGTGATAAGGCTGGTAACAAATAAATCAAAAGTTTCTCCTATAAAGCAAGTTACCAAGTTTACAAGATTAAAGTTATGCACAGCTGTATTGCTTGCGAAGTTAATGACTCGAGTAATATCTGCTCTGAAATTTAATGTGAATAATGCATTTTTCTGGAGTGACTCTACGATAGTCTTCGCTTGGCTGAAAAAGGAGCCCTGTTGTATGAAAACGTTTGTTGCTAACTGAGTTGCGGTGAACTGTAGTGGTGTGGTCCCCTATTTCTTCTTCAACCTGTGATGACTGTGTGCCAAGATGATATCCCTGAGGAGTCCGAAGAACTGTATCTTCGTGCATTAAAACCACCAATAAGTAAAATATATGCACTTATTAACACTTCTGAGCCATTAGATGTCATGAATAATTGTTCATCTTACAATAAATTGCTAAGCGTAGTGGCTTGGTGCAAGAGATTCATGCATAACACTAGCCATCCATTGCATGATACACGCAGAACGTTGACAACCAGTGAACTTTCTAGTGCATTATTGTGTATTGCGAAAAATTTTCAAGAGACTTCATTTGTGACAGAAATCCAGTGCTTAGAAAAGAGTGCTCCTATTCCTAATAGTAGTAAACTATTGAATTTGTATCCATTTTTAGACCATGATGGAGTACTCAGAGTGGATGGCAGACTGAAAAACAGTGACTTGAGTGAAATGAAAAAGCATCCTATGATTCTGCCAATTAAACATAATTTTACTGTAATTGTGATTAATCATTTTCATGTTCATTATTTTCATGCAGATGCTGAAAAAACACTATCACTTATAAGGAGTACATTTTGGATTGTCTCTACAAGAAATGTAATTCAAAAATTATATTTAATTGTATGATTTGTAAAAACATAAATTCTAGGTCTGTGCAGCAACAGATGACTGATTTACCAGCTGCGAGAGTGACCATATCAAGAGTTTTTGCTAGAACAGGACTCGATTTCTGTGGTCCATTTGTGATAAAAAGTGTTGTAGGTAGAAGTAAACAGGTAAAAAAAGTATTTGTATGTATTTTTGCATGTTTCACTATGAAAGCCTTGCACTTTGAGACTGTAAATGATTTAACAAGTGCAGCATTTATAGCAGCACTTAAACGCTTTATTGACAGGCGAGGTAAACCCTCAGATATTTTCAGTGATAATGGCAGAAATTTTATAGGTGCTCATAGAGAATTAAGAGCGATTCTAAAATCTTTATTTAAGGAAAAAGTGAGGAAGAAATCAAAGGTTATTGGCTACTGAAGGCATAAATTGGCATTTTAATCTCCCCTCTACTTCACTTGAGAGGTTTATGGAAGTTGTGTGAAATCCCTTAAATATCAACTTGAACGTGTGGTGGGAAAAAAACAATTTCTAACTTATGAAGAATTTTTTACTCTAATTGTTCAAAATGAATCTGTATTTAAATCTCCCGCTTTGTCCCATACAAATGATCCAAATGATTAGAAGCATTGACACCTGCTCACTTTTTATTGGCTCATCTTTAATTGCATGCCTGAACCTAATTTTACAGATTCCTATAAATCGGATAAAGATGGAACAAGGTTTCAGAAATTAAATCAAAATTTTTGGAAAAATGTCATCTAATTTAAACAAACTTTTAAATACCTAAATGGTATAAAGGAAAAGTAGAAATGAAGGAAAGAGATTTAGTTAGTTAAATATTCAGATAATTTACTCTCCTTTAAGTGGCATTAACACAAATATTAAACCCATCAGGTCAGATAATATTATTGGAGTTGTGACACTTAAAGATAAAAATGGAATCTATAAAAGGCCACTGACAAAAATGTACCTTGCCTTTTTTAATGAAAAAGTTTCAGTTACTTAAATTTTATTTGTAGTTAATTATCAAGTTTGAGTTTGTATAATTGTATAACCATCACTATTATTTATCTTGGAGTGTTGTGTTTGTATTTTATAACTTAAGGTTTAAATTTATTGTTGAACGTAACATTCAAAGCCGGGCTGGATGTTGACACCAGAGACGCCATCTGTGAAAAACATGTAATATTTGTGTTCTAAAACGATGACACTGATGTTTGTTTATAGCGCCACCTTGTGGCCACTTGTATAAGTTTGAGTGTGTTCCAAGATGCCGCCGAGAGATGTGAACTAACTACGCAGCTTTTTGTGTAATTAATAAATTTTTAGTATACAGTCCATTTTTGAGTTCTTGTGTAAGTGATTTATTTAATTAAGAGTTTTACTGAGCTATTAACAGGCCCAACGCCACTGTATTTTATATGAATTTCAGCAGGGAAGAATTGCTACAGAAGCATGTAGATATTTATTGAAAGTGTTTGGTGAAGGTCCAGTTTCTGACAGAACATGCAGAAGATGGTTTGAAAAATTTGAAACAGGTGATTTCCACCTTTCTGATAAGCCACGTTCTGGACAACCATCTTTGATCGAAGACCATGTTGAACCAAGATCCTTTTCTGACTACATCGGAGATCGCAGAAAGGCTTAAATCAGCTCTGCAAACCATTTCAGATCATATTCAGAAGATAGGATTGGTGTAGAAATATTCAAAAGGGGTGCCACGTGAATTAAGTCAGAAGAATTTAGATGATTGAGTCATCATATGCACATCTCTGCTTGCTCGGAGCAAAATCGAGCCCTTCTTGAACCAGATGATAACTGGGAATGAAAAGTAGATTACTTATGAAAACATGGAAAGGAATAGGGCATATTGTGAGCCGAAAAAACCTAGCCCTTCCACCTCTAAACCTATCTCTGAATAAGAGAATGTTGTGTATATGGTGGGATATTCGAGAACTAATACATTATGAGCTTTTAAAACCGAATGAAAAGCTCAATTCGGAGAAGTATTGTCAGCAACTGGATAATTTAAAGACAGCAGTGCAAGAAAAGAGACCGGCAATGTTCAATAGGAAAGGCATCATACTGTATCATGAGAATGCCAGGCCACATGCTGCTTTATGGACTCATAAAAAAATTGCAGAACTAGGCTGGGAAATTCTGTAGCATCCACCATATTCCCCAAAATTAGCACTCTCCCACTATCACTTGTTTTTGTCCTTATAAAATTTTTTGAAAGGCAAAAAATTCAAAAATGAAGACGATATCAAACAAGCACTGGTTCAGTTTTTCACATCAAAAGATACAACATATTTCAAAAGTGGGATATACAAATTGCCCTCATGCTGGCAAGACGTTATTAATAATAATGGCAATTATATCATTTAATAAAGTTTATTGACGGTAAAAAAAAATTGTATTTTGTTTTTTTCCCAAATGGACAGAACTTTCTGGTAGATCGAATACATGAAAATGTTAGGGTAACAGATATTGATAAACAAATATACGTATAACATTAACAAAATCACATGGAATAGATTAATGCACTTGAAACAATTATTATAAGTATTCAGTCTCCACCTCCGGAGTCTCAATTTCTTCAATTAATATAACATATATATCTTAGTTGTAATTTTAGTCAAAGTTTCACATTATTGTGGGGAAATCCATTTAATTTTATGGTTTAACCAATAATTGCTGATAATAATAAATACATCTTGTAATATGTTTAGCATTACTCACAACATTTTATGACTTGAATATGTTAAAAGTTCAGTTCCAAAAATTCTCCCATTGGTAAACTAAAAAATAAATAGCTATAATGCTGATAAACATGCATAACTTATTTATATAGTTAATCTGTAATAAATTCAGAAATAGTATGCATAAAAATATAAATAAATGAATATTTAATATGATTAATACTATTAGATAATGGTTTTATTATTGTACACAACACAGAAAAATTATCACATTCTTCAGTAATATATGAAAAGATGTTATGTTTCATTTTGATATAACAACTCTAAAGATAACTCACAGTAAAATTACTATGTATGTGTGTATATCTAATATGTATATATTACAAGATATTATTTTAATTAATTGAAAGCAAAGACCTTCAGTTAGGTCAAAGGCCTTCAGTTATCATTGAAAAATTCTTATTAAAATCTTCAATTAATAACTCAGCTTCTTCTTTTAATGCATCTGCTTTTTCTAAAAGGATCATTTTGGCAGCAGAAACAATCTGATTTGCAGTTTTGTAAGGTAAATGATGCACTTTAGCTACCAATTCTCGTGGATCCACTTTAGCAATGTCTGCTAAAGACTTAAATCCTGCAACATATAGCTGTCTTGCCCGACCACGTTTCACAGCAGGGAGTTCCATTAAAGGAAGAAGTTCCATTGTGACACAATATGACAACTGCTTCACAAAATTAGGCAGTAACTGTTGATATGCCCAGAACTCACTAAGCTCTTGACAAAAATTATTCAAAGTAGCACCAAGAGCACTAGCACTATTAAGTAAATTTTGTACAATACCTCGATGAACTTGGTATTTCTGAGCAACATACCAAATAGAGTTCTGTCTCCAAAGATCATATAATATTAGAGTTAAATAAAAATGATGGAGTAAAGCTTTGGCATCACTTCCCAAAGATCGGCCACTAGCCATTAGCATTACCGCACATTCTGTAGCTCCAATCTGCTCTGCAGCAGCTAAATCTTCAGAATTCAGAGCAGAGTATCTTTGGAAAAAAATGTCGGATGCCAATGGTATAGAAGCCGAAAATTCTGCTGGTGTTACTAAATACAATAAATGCAAATGAGAATGAAGCACAAGTCCCTCTAAACCAGTTTTTAATCTTCTCAAAAATTCTTCCATAGTTGTACAGTCAACACCACCTCGAAATGCTGCTCGGCCCAGATTTGTAACTGAAAAGGAAGTCCCATTTTTATCATATTCTACTAAATTATGGTTGCATAAATCTTTTACAGTGTCTTTAAAAATGGAACTTGGAGAACAACCAGCTTCTCGATTTTGAATTGCAGCTAAGGTGTGATCCATGAAAGCATAAATATCATTCATTGTGTTAGCAAGGCCAAGTCCAATCAAGCTTAGAAGCAGCATGTGAAGACGCTCTGGTTCAGTAATAAAATTACTTTTACATGATTCTGTATCAGATGTCAAAAGCTTTCCTACATTAAGCCTATCTGCTTGCTTGATAATTAAGATGCTTTCACCAGAATTATCAATTCCAGCTCGACCTGCTCGTCCCACCATTTGTTTGTAGCGGCTAAATGTTATAAAATCCATCCCAACATATGGTGCACGAAGAACAACTCTTTTAGCTGGTAAATTAACACCAGCAGCCAGTGTTGAAGTACAAGTCAAACAACATAGCACACCACTAAGATAAGCTTCTTCAATTCGTTTACGTTCATCCATTGTCAAGCCACTATGATGATAGGCAATTCCAAATTTTATCGTGTTTTTCAGTATATTGCATACGTTACCATTTCCATCCTCAATTAATGCTGCCAAAAGAGCTTCCTTTTCTTCTTTTCTGTGAGAGGCAAGAGAATCTCGTAATAACTGACAAACAGTTGTAGCAACATTCTCACAATGTTTCTTTGTGGGACAAAATATAAGACATGAATTCTGAGGTATAACTTCCATTATAAGACCAGTAATCATATCTGGATCCCGCTTAAGCATACCTTTAGTGTACTTGAAGTCAAGATTGCGCACAAGACGCCATTCACCGGAATGTTTATCTGTCAGTTCATATAGTTCACTGTCCAGTTTCACATATTCTTTCAGTTCAACTGGGCGGAAGTCTTTTTCATAAATATCAGCATTAAGAAACTTTTGAAGATCATTCATATTACTCAGAGTGGCACTCATTCCAATTATCTGAGTTTTCTTTGATACAAAAAGAACTTTTGATAGCAGGCTCTCAAGAGCAGCCCCTCGCCCACTACCTTCACCTATCATATGTAATTCATCAACAACAACAAGACCTATCTCAGTCATTCTTTGAGCTTCAATCAATGAATTAACAAGTGAATGTGCTTTCTCTATAGTGCAAACATACAAAGAATGGCGTTTTCTTTTCCTACGAGGAGGTATTGTTCCTTTAATGCCAGCATATTCTTCAACAGCAAAATCTAAATCTACAGCAAAAGGAGCAAGACCACGAACTTTTTCTTGTACAAGAGAAATGTATGGCAGAACCAGGATGGCATCTTTTAAATGGCAAAGTAATTCTTTCATTATTAAAATTTCAGCAACTAATGTTTTCCCACCGCTGGTTGGCAATGTATACACAAGATTCCGTTTTTCTCTCACTGCTGGTAATAATAAACATTCTTTCTGCCATGTATATAATTCATCAATTCCTTTGTGAGATTTTAGAAGTTCAGGAATTCGTGATGGCAATCCATAAAATGGACCTACTGAGCTTTGTGAAAGTTGTTCCTGAAGTTTCTGTGCTTCTTCTAGAGCAAATAAAATACTAGCTCTGTTTTTCTCTCTGTGAATAGATAAGTTAGGGGTAGAAGAAATGTTATGTTTGAGTTTCTGTATTATGCAGGAGGAAATGCTATTACTTTGAATGGGTGATAATTCACTAAATACATCTGTAGAATTGGAAACAGAAATTTGACCTGCTTCTTTTTTACTCTCTAAAGATGAATCAATTTTTACAGCCTGTGACAAACAGTATTCAAATGACTCGTCTTGTTTTAAACAAAATGAATCTGAATTTTCAGATTTAATTCTTTGCTCAGCATTCACATTTTTAAATCTGCACAAAAATATTTTTTGTTCTTTATCTGCATAACTACAGTTTTTATTACTTTTATCCAGAATTTCATTAGCAGGTACATATTCAGAAAACTCTTCATCATTTAGAAATTCTGAAGTCAAATTACATGGGCTAAGTATTTTTCTACATAAAATACTTGCTCTTGGACGTTTTTTGGCTTGAGGAGTTGATGTAATAAACACATTACCATCACCTAAGTTTGAAATATTTCCAAATGTAGACATATTTCAAAAATCCATTTAATCAAGAATGCTTTTAACAAATTCATAAAAAAATATCATAAGCAAAGTTTTTCCACCAATACAGTATAGGATTTTCATAGCAATAAGTGAGTTATGAAATTTTCATGCCAATTAGTGAAAAATAGCACTCACCATTGGTGGTGTTTGCTCCACATCAGAAATGTTGCGATTTGATTCATCATTATCCCATAATGTTTTGGCAGTTACAGGATGCAATGAGCTAATGCAGATTAGCATAAGTATTGCTAGAAAAAGATTTCATATTAAAATAAAATACATAGTTTTCTTTTAAATGAAGCACACAATTAAACACTGACACATATGTAACTCAAAATTTTTTAATCAAATTTGAAATTTCTTTACCTTATTTGAATTAGAAGATTCTTTTTTTTCACTCTGCATTTAATTAGTTAAATTTTTATATGTTCTTAGTATCATTTTGAATTAGCTCCTACTTTGAATAGCTTGCTTCTTTAAAATAAATGCTTCAGGTTACAATGGACCTTTCCTTGATATATTAGCATTACACATGTGAACTCGCTAGTTGGGAAATATTGCACAGCACTATTAAATAAATTACATAACTGACTCAAAGATATATTACCATTTTCACTCACATATCCCCCTTTCTTTTTACTAATTTTGCTTCTTGAAAATCAAGCAGGGAGAAAATTATTTAAAAAAGTTAAGGACTTTCATGGAACATTTTTTTTTTTTTTCCCAAAAAAACAGAGGACAATTAAGTACTTTCAAGGACCATACGAACCCTGGAATTAGTAGAAATGTTAAATTACTCAGCATAGTAATTCAAAGATAAATCCCATGCGCTGCATGCTGGGATCTGCAGACAAATGTGCACCTTTATACAAGCCCCTAACCCGTTTTGACAATATTCAACTCAGAAATTGGAAAAGAAATTAGTTCTAAAATGAAAAAAATTTTTAGAATAAGATTAATGATTTCTTTTATGCATTTCTTGATGCTTTTATGCATTTATTCATTTAATCTCATTTAAAATATTAAAAATCAAGGAATGCTTTTAGTAAATGCTTTTTTTAGCAAATGTACCTAAATCCTTGAAGATACTGCTTTAAATTTTAGTTCAAATTGCTTACAAAAAATTTTAGAACTAAAACAGGCTTAAAAATTGTTCCATTAAAACAGTAAAAATAATTCATTCTGTTCTCTGGATTAAATAACATCTCCCCATTTTTTTAATACTGAACATACATATAATTAGTCTTAGTCATATAACATTAAAAATAGCTTCTGAGGAACTTCACAGTGATATTTTTTTATTTTCTTGAATCCACACACAAACATACATAAAATAAATAAATAAATACATAAATTTAGTAAAATTTTTGGGTTCATCATGGAAACATCACAGCTAGCCACTTAATGAAAAAGGGGAAAAAAAGTTTATTTTCAGCTTAATGAAACAAATAAAGAAGTGATAAAAAAATATAAACAGACATATTTTTGACACATTCAAAATCAGAACTAAATACTCCATTTATTACAATTACAATCAATATTTAATATAAATTACCATCATGTATTCTATATTGATAAAAATCATATGCTGTTTTATTCATACAGGCTTTTATAAATGTGAGTTTATATCAATATGTGCTTTCACAAGCTTGGGCTTTTATTCATGTGCACTTTCATCCATATGGATATTTGTCACATGGGTAATAATCACAGTGAAGCAGCTTTTGTGGGCTTATACAAATCAAATACTTCATTTATAACAATTAAGATCGATATTTAATATAAATTACCATCATGTATTCTACATTGATGAAAATCGTGTATCCTTTTATTCATGTAGGCTTTTATCAATGTGAGTTTATATCAATGCATGCTTTCACAAGTTTGGGCTTTTATTCATGTGCCCTTTCATCAATATGGATATTTGTCATGAGGGTAATAATCACAATGAAGCATCTTTTGTGGATTTTTGTTGCATCTGCTTTCATCCAGTGGACTTTTACCAGGGAACCATAAGAAACATGTGAGCCAATACAGCATCTCTAGAATCTCAGCTTTTAAAAAATACAAGGTGTGTCTATTAAATTCCAGGACTGTACATGTAGTTAATGAATGAAAATGTGTAGGAATACATCATCATGTGGATGCGATAGCATAACCAATGAGGCGCGAAGTAAGAACAAATACGCGGTGATTGCATCAGCATTTCCGATTTGAAAAAGGTTAAACACAGGTGGTTCATTAGAACACGTGTCACGGTCGGTGATGAAGCAAAGAGTGAATATCAAGTTTCATTTCAAAATTGAGAAAACGGCAAGTGAAACCTATGAGTTACTGAAAATTGCATATGGAAATGCTGCTATGTTCCACTACTGTACTTTTGAATGGTATGCACACTTTCGCGATGGCAGGGAAAACACAGAAGATGACCAGCACTATGGATGACCCATCACATAACGAACAGAAAATAAGGTTGCAAAAGTCCGTTCTTTGGTGACTGCAGATTGCTGAAAGACCTTAGGATGCTTGCGGATGAGTTAAATATGGGCGAGGACACAGTGCACAAGATTTTTAGGGAGAATTTGGGAAAGAGAAAGATTTGTTCATGGTTTGTGCTGCATTTTTTGACAGTGATCAGAAGCAATGCAGAATGCAAGCTTAAGGGAACTTAATCGACACAGCTGACCAAGATCCGCCGCTTTTACAATCAATCGTGAAAGGCGACAAATCCTGCTGTTACCAGTATAATTCCAAAACAAAAAGACAGAGTGCCAAATAGAGATCACCATCTTCTCAAGACAGAAAAAATTCCGTTTCCAGAAGTTGAAAGAGAAAGTCCTGTTAATAGCTTTCTTTGATGCACATGAACTAATACATCATGAGATTGTGCCACCTAATCAAACTGACAACAAAGCTGTTTTGCATCGGTTAGTTTCCAAAACTTAAGACTACTCTGAAAAGGCATTGATTTCAAGGCATAGAGAACATAAAGAAAAACATAACTGCTCAACTTCGAAACAGAGACTTCAGAGGACTACCAAGCATGTTTCCAGAATTTGTACCGCCATGCACAAAAGCATGTGAATGCCAGAAATGACTATTTTGAGGACTGTTAAACGTATGTTTGTTTTTTATAATTCATTCCGTTGTAATAGCCCCAGTCCTGGAATTTAACTGACTCACCTTGTATAAAGTTCTCATTAAACTTATGCACATAAATGTGATAAATTATGGATAATACGAAATGTTTGCATATTCTAGCAAATTTAGATGCAGCAACTTTAACACATGTCTCAGATATAATCCTAACCCCTACTGAAAATAACAAATATGTAACTATAAAAAATGAACTAATTGCAGAGTTTTTCAAGATTCCAAAGTACAAATCTCTAACCTGTTATCAGATTTACAATTAGGTTACAAAAAACAAAACAAAAAAAGTTTCTTTTTGAATGAAAGAATTATCATTAAATACAATACAAAATGATTTCCTAAAAAACTTGTGAACACAAAGCATTCCTTCCAAAATGTAAACAATTTTATCAGCTTCTGATGCAGATTTGTTTGGCCCAATTAGCAGATACAGTTTCAGAAATCACAGAAATGCACAACCAACTATTATATGACAATTGCTAAAGAGCAAAAAATACACGCTTTACAATTCAGCATATGACTAAACAGAAAAAAACTAAAATACAAGTTGCTCATATGCAATCTCTAAAATATCTCTTGTAAAGTAAAGAGCCCTTTTCAATCGATTTCACTACGTTACTCAGTACCATCCTTAATGATCACTATACACAAATTTGACATACTTAAATCTTAAGACTAAGAAACGGTACTTACGTATAATCGCAACCAGTTTGGCGCAATTTGTAAGTTTGAGTAAAAAAGTATGAATAGAAAGAAATTGTACATTTATTAATTACAGATAATTTTTAATACAGTTTTTTATATTATTTGCTTTAAAATATAAAATAGCAATTAAACCCTTCCTTTTTTCGAATTTGAATAAGTTTGCAGAAATTATTGGTTGATTCTTACATTATGTAATGGCGATTTTTTGGCGAAAATTGGCGACCAACTCTCCTACAGCAACTTTTTTTTTTTCCCCGCCGCCATTTTCTTTAAAGACATGTTTCTTTTCTTTTTATCTACTGAACACTCTTCTTCCAACAATCTCTCTACCGAATTACACTTATGTTAGAAATTTTATCTAACAAACTGCTAAAATCATGAACAATATTTACTGCAAAATTGGGAAAAAGTGCACAATACCATACTCCTTACGCTTTTTTTCAAATAACACTACACATAAGCCATGTACACATCGACTTTATTTTTACTTAAAAAAACATCCCAGAATTGCACAAAAAGGCATGCGCACACTGTTACTATATCCATGTACACTGCTTTTTTTTCTCATAATTAGAAAAATTTCACGAAAATACATGACAATTTTTTGAATCTTTAAACCCGGTAAAAAGAACATATATGAAATTACCTGATCGAAAATTATATACCCTTTCCAAATATGAACATTTCCACGTATAAAATAAATAAATTATCCAAAAACTTTTACTCTCAATTATCTATTATATTATAAACGTCACCAACGAATTCATACTGCAAACTTTACAAATACTTAGTGTCAAAATTTAAATTATTCCATGCACGTTTTACTCAACTAAAACGTATACCAAATTCCAAACAAAATTCACAAAATAACTATCATTTAATTAAAATATACTAACCATGTACACGTAACTTATTTTTACTTAAAAAAATCCCAGAATTGCACAAAAATGCATTGCGCCACTCTCACTATATCCATGTACACTCCTTTTTTTCTCAAAATTAGAAAAATTTTTCACAAAAATCATGAATATTTCTGAATCTTATACCCGTAAAAGAACATACATGAAATTACTTGATCGCGAAAAAGTATATACCCCTTTCCAAATATGAACATTTCCCCGTATAGT